GAGAGACTTTAGTCACCTGCACCTGTCTTTGCAAATTACAAAGGTGGGAAGCATGCACAACTTATATGGTTGGGCCAGTAATGATCGCTACTTGTTAAAAACTGAAGTGTGTTAAGAGTTACAAGTTTAATCTGTATAAAGAGTCATGATCTGCTGATGAAATTTAAGTAGAACAGTGCCAAATTTATATCACAGAAACATCACAGATTACAGTTGAGCTAAAGCCAACAAGAATGCGAATTAATAACATGGAGTGGACGAAGGAGACAACTTCTGTCCAACCGTATATAATGGTACAGTGCTAGTCAACTAAAAAATAAGGTGGGGATTCGATTCTCCACCAACGATCTAATACACCTCATCTAGTTTACTAACCGCTAACACGTCTATAAAAGAGAGAAGGTTTGGCGTGAAGCTAAAAAAAGCACTATTGCAACTGAAACTTGAAGACTTGGAAACTTACGTCACACTCCGAAGGTAAGGAATTAAAAGAATACTTGATTTAATAGTAATTGCCATAAATGCTATTCACTTCTCAAACATCATCCTATGATCTGCTTTTAAGAGAAAAGAATTTCGTCCTCCAGTCGATACTTTAACTGGTTCTTTTAAAATTAACAGTGAAAGAAGGAATGTTAGTATGTTGACCTCATAGGAACTTCGTTGATGTTCGAGCAAATGATTTCATAGATAAAAAGATTTCATGCTTAGGAAATTATTACTCAGTTAATGGATAGTATTGTAATTAGTCACAATGTAAGTTAATACAAACTTATGACATAGATCAACCAGAATTTAATATAATCTCTGGCTCTTCTAATACTCATCCCTGAAGATCTGAAGTCAAAGTATTGCGAAAATATATCACGAAGCTAGTCAATAGTAAGACATATTAAACTGTTAGTCTTCTGAATCGGGTACAAATCAGTGTACCTTACTGTTTCATTTGAAAGTACAGATCCTCTTTATCTATACACCGTTTGTGTGAACAGACCAGTTTAATTATGATTTTATTCTTAATATCTGCATTAAATTATATACTACTGATTACTTGAGATGAGTAGTTGTCAACTAGCAGTGTTTGCCAGCCAGATCTATGGATTGCCGTTTCATTCGTTTGGGGCCAGGCTCCCCATAGGTGCACCCGACTAGACTCAGCTTAGAGAGCCGAATAAATTAGTAGTATATGGTTTTACGCAAACATGCTTGCCATCTTGGTTGCCACTTAAAGGTATCAAGCAGATAGAGCACTGTGATCTAAATAATTTAGTTTCCAAAGTAGACTGCGATGAAAACTTTCACTGCTCAAACTGTGAATTTGATTTATTCATAATGTTTCCGTGTATTCCACATGCATAAAATAAATCTTATCCATGCCTATTAGTAAGTGAGCTGATAAGATATATGACTACAGCTTGCATTGTTTTATTGAGGTGTCATCGAGGGACACCGTAAGTAAAACTATGCCTTCCCTAGTTTTGTCATTGAATCTCTAAAATATTTATAATAGCAGAATTAGTTTATGCTACATATTCCACAGCAGTCTAACAGCGTTGTTATGGTAATGAATTATTTATACTGTTTTTAACTGTCGGTATAAGCAGGTTGGGAACAGTATCTTCTCTCCTGGAAAATAATTTTTTCACATCGGTAAATTTGTCTGTTTCGAATAAACCGCCTGTCGGATGCACTCATACTTTAAATAAGAGAACATTTGCTGCTACATGGCTGCAAGTAACGTTAACATTCATTTTTCCCTATAGAAAGTAAATTGCGGCACAAAACGCTATTCGGTACTTCTTGGTTAACAAGATTAAAAAATTATAACTGAAAATAATGTCACGGTGTTTTCTGTCACTTCATTTCATTTGCCGAATTTCAGGATTTGTTTAGCTTTTTATAAACACGCATTTACAATTACTTAGCATAAGAAACAAGGTCAGGATTTTCAACTCCAGTATCAAGTTAGTCTGCTTTACGGATTTAGAGTGCACGTTACTGAAAGCATTTCTAAGAGAATGCTGCAAGCTTTCATCAACACATGTCGTTGCTTGATACTGAAGGTGAAATAGCTCGTCGGAAGGCATAAGAAACAAGGATCTCTTGCAGACAGCGTATCAACTTAGAATTTTTCCCCAAACTAATGTACAGACTGAAATGTAGGTGGATTAGACATACATCAAGGCTGTTGAGTGATACCATACACCAAGCAATCGAACGTTTTAAGGCTGCTTAGTTGTTGCTTCAACAGTTGTGTAGCCACCTTTCACAGGCGTTGGGTTGATAGTGCAGGGCAACTTATTCACAAAAGTTTAAGTATTCCAATTTCAGTTCGTTCGCTTCATACTAACAAATTATTTAGCATGATTCTGCATTTTTGCTGTCAGCAGAAGACCCGAACTTGAACTATTGAAGTACTAATGACTATGAGCGTGAGAACAGTCGTACTCACAGAAGCAATGTACTTACTTCTGGGAAACAGTTTGCCAGAAAGTCGACTGACAAAAATCCACCTGATGAATATTTCAGTCAACGACTTCACAATTATATTATTTTGTTTATGGTAGTGAACACCGGGCACCCAGTTGTAAAGCAGACGCGTAAGAAATTTCATTTGTAAAAATCTAAGCGAAACTGAAATAAATAATTCTGTTGAACAATCTGATCTGAAGGCATACATGCATTAGCGGATATACCTTGTCTTTACAATCTTTGTGGTGCTATCCGCTATCCAGTTATATGTTGATATGAGTTCATATAATTTCGTTTATTTTGTTTTGATGACTAATTATGACATGATTAGAAGAGGATTCTAAAGACCAAATGTATCCATTTATATACAAGTTAGATATTTTAATTTTGATTATTTCCCTGAGAAAATCTTGTACCAAGTTGCTGAACGAAACGCTGGAATTACTCAACTCATTTGCACTTAGATTTATCCAGATATAATTCAATTTTTACGTAAGAACACCATAACTTAATGTAATCGCATTGTAGGATTTTATTGGTGCGCCAGTGGCAGAGCAGTAGAATGCTCGCCTACTATGTATGTGGCCCGGGGTTCGATCCCTCGCTAAGCCAGAAATAAGACTGCTAAGGAAGGAAGGTTGGGTATGAGGCCAGCATCTCGATTCCGTAAAAATAAACATCACTGCTACGGAAACGTCATGCCTGTAGCTTGAAGCCCTATGTTCCACTAGGAACGTACAGGAATTAGAAAGATAGAAGATTTTGGTGAAAAGGAGCAATATTCACTTTTCAAAATGAAATTGCATAGCTGAGTTTATCTTTAGTAAGCTTTGCATTTTCAGTAGCGATATAACACAATATTAAATTATCACATGAATAAGTGTATTATATGCTAATGACTAAAATGAGCACTTCGTGGATTGGCAGAAAATGGAATTCATGGGCCAATGGATCGCATCTCAGTGGCTTAATGCTCTACGAGCTCAACTTGTAACCAGAAGGTCCTGGGTTTGAACCCTATCGGTGGGTGCTTACTGTGAAGAGTCCCAAACCAGGACGAAATAGTTGTCCAGTACTCCTTGGTTTCCAATGCTTCTCTAAACAATGTCAGCTGATGATGAAATCCTGTAACTAATCAGTCAATATCCCCACAAACCATTACTTAAGGTATTTCATCTGATCGGAGTATCTCCTAACCAGATCACAATACCTACAAGTCATTCCAATTACTTTCAATGAAAGAGAGTTCGAAATTCACTTAAATCGACTCGGCTTAGATGCCTGAGTCAATCAGCTTATTGGAGAGGTCTTCGTATAGTGAAAAAAGAAACTGGAGTCTAGAAAGTGAATCCCAAGATAAAGTGATAGTTTCCCATAAGTCTTCTGCATTCACACAAATGTTTAATGCATATGGTCAATTGCAGAACTGACTGTATCCCTTGTAGATACTGCGTTTGAATTGCAAAGTATTAAAGGCACATATTTCAAAGTGACATTAGACTGAACATATTTTCCCTCCCCCATGATCTTACAGTAAATATTTATCTAACAGTTAAGCTACACCATAGTATAACCAATGACAAGTTTATTCAACTTATAGCCTGTTTACAGATAAACATTTCAAATACAAGAAAAAGTTAATACGAAAATAAGTAAAAGGGTAATTTTTTGTTTTTATTTATTGTCCAGAAATTTGTAATCATGATATCCATCTTTTAGTGTGTATACGAATCAGCGTGAGACTTTTGTGAAACCAAGTTGTTTTGGGTATACAACTGTCATAAAAGTTATTGTTGTTTGTAAAAGCTGTCCTAGGGAATGGTGTACACTTAGGCGATTTCACTGAAGGAAAAAAAGTTGTATTCTGCTGTAGGAAGATATTGTATTACAGTGCACTCTGATTTCAGTATGCAGTAATTTTGTTCCTTTTTAAAAATATTTTTACAATACAGCGTTAGATAAAGAGTTTTACCTAATCTAGATATGCAATTTGTGTTTATTTTCTGTTAGTCAACTACTCCAGGAAAATGAAGGCTTATATGTAAGCCAGATAATACACAACAATTGAATAATGATGCTAAAATTTTGTGGCAACAATCTATACCTTTTACTTTGGGCTAGCCCTACTGCTTCGCATAAAAAGCCTTGATAAGTAGAACATCATTCGAATCTCAAATGTGTTCATTGGGAATTCATTGCTTAAACCAATAAGTCATATCTCTACTAGTGTATATCTATCCCCGAAGACTGAGAATGTTTTCCATTCTGAATAATATGAATGACTGTGCTTCGATATTCATGTACCAAACAAATTATCATTTCAAAGCAGTCAACGAGGCGTTTGACGCCTAAAGTGGAATAAATGTTGTATAACCTCTTATTTGACATCTTCAGCTATACTGCTCGGTTAGATCCTATCATCTCATTCCTAGTGTAACAACAGAAGACAAGGGCCAGGCAACAGATCGTTTTATTATGAAAATCAACACGTATTTATACATATTTCAACTACATTATTATAGACAAGCGCAGTCATCTGATTGGTTGTTTATCAGAAGTTAGGTAGACAAACGCAGGCTTCTGATTGGTTGTTTCGGGATTCCTTGACAAATAGAGTTCTCTATCTGCGAATCATATTTTGCCACGTTAACTTTGCTGTGATTGGTTGTTGACTCAGCCTTGTTCATATTTTCTCACGGCCCATATTAGTGACCTAGACCTTAACGTAGATTAGTGCCAACCAATCGGCTAGCAGCCTGCTCTCACCACACACGTCCCCCCGTCAAATACGTGCGACTGAAGTCGGCTTGATCTACTTGGTGCAGGCGTCATCGTTGGCTTGTCTCGCTGTATCCATTTCTGGAGCTCGCTGACGTTCACGCGCCTCTTATTGTTCGCCATTGCGACTGTGTCTGCGTAACCCCATCTCGAAGTGACCATATATGGTCCTTCCCACTTTGGAAACTGTTTGCCTGACCCTGTCGAACATTCGTCCATACTTCGGCTCACACTTTCATATGCTGCTTTCACCCGACCTCCCAGCAGCGTCCCAAGTAGCAGCTCCATCGCTGACAGATCTTGAACGCCACTCAACTGCGCAGAAGCCTTGAAGTCCTGCCCGAAGATCCATATGTCTCCATCAAAAACTGCAGGGTATAGGCTTTTCATTTGTCGGTAGGCAGCGACACCAAATGTAACAACAGAAGACAAGGGCCAGGCAACAGATCGTTTTATTATGAAAATCAACACGTATTTATACATATTTCAACTACATTATTATAGACAAGCGCAGTCATCTGATTGGTTGTTTATCAGAAGTTAGGTAGACAAACGCAGGCTTCTGATTGGTTGTTTCGGGATTCCTTGACAAATAGAGTTCTCTATCTGCGAATCATATTTTGCCACGTTAACTTTGCTGTGATTGGTTGTTGACTCAGCCTTGTTCATATTTTCTCACGGCCCATATTAGTGACCTAGACCTTAACGTAGATTAGTGCCAACCAATCGGCTAGCAGCCTGCTCCCACCACACTAGTAGTACCGAGTTATAAAGATAGCAGTTTATTACCCTTCGGCGGGAGTATGTTGAGTAAGTGATACAATAATTTATGATCGATAGTGGTATGAAAAGTTGGATCAGGCTGTGAATAGAATGAATTATTATAAAAAAAACTAGTTAATCCACAAAAGTGGAATCATACATTAAGACAAATTGTTACTTTTTCCCAAACCTTACAGTATGTATAAAAAGACAATTAGAAAACACAGAATTTACCACTTTTCGTGGTAGATTATGTCACGAAATAACAGAATTCTGCATTAAATATTTTTTCTGTGTTCTGGAGTCTCAGAACCAATGACGTTAGCCAGACATTTATTATCCTGAAATCTATGTGAAGATATAAAGAGCTTGGCATATGTAACAAGACCCGAAATTTCATCACTAAACTTCAGTCAGTGCTCCCGATCGATTCGGAAACTTGGTAGGTATATCACCAGAAGCATTTTCAATAGAATGTTGCATATGTTCCTCAACAAATGACTTAGCTTGGATAGTAAAAATCACATGGTAGATGAGAAAGGGATAACCAACGCGAAACTATGACAGACAGGGAATCAGCCAAAAATCTATCTTCCAATTAATATTGAGAAAGAAAGGGAGATGGATTGGACATACACTGAGGAGATACTAAAGTTACATCAGAAGCTAATTTCTCAAATGGAACTCAAATGAGAAGCAATGAGTTTGGTATGTTAAGGAGAGTAGAAAAAGCCGTATGAGGAGGAAATGAAAGCTTGTGGGCAGTCATGGAGTGAGTTGAAAGTGTAAATGAAGAACTGAACTGAATACACATATAAGTCCCACGTCCCAGTTGGAGAGGTATCGCTGAACAATAATTGTAATGGACTACATATTGGTTCCTACTTATTTTCATTCATTAGTAGTATTTATGTGTATTCCATTTCTAAGACGCACTTTTCATGTTAGAATCGCCTTCAAGAAATTTCCTTTAGACAGAAGTTTTTTAATGTTTATATATTATTTTTATAGCTTTGATACTATTATTGCTATTATTATTATTGTCACTATCTGTATTTTGCTTATCTACAATAATTTTACTGGTTCTATGATTATGTATACCTAATGCAAAGTTCACTGATATGGAAACCATGCGTTTATAAAAGGCACCTGTTCATGAATGAGATTACTTATCTGAAATAAATAAATTATATCCTGCAGATTAGGTGATTCTCATTCCTATTATTAACAGTATTGTTTTTATTGCATTCATAAAATTTATATATATATATATATATGCACACAACATTTGCTGTGTGCTATAATGTAATCTAACTGATGCGAAAGAGAGGAAAGAAACACAACTAGTGGATTGATTATCAGTTCAATCTCTGAATAAATCACCAATATTTTTTATCTAATAGGAAGGGTGAATAAGTATGCTTTAACCTTCATTTTGTTTGACATGAATAACAGATTTGCTAAGCTGCTTATTTCATAGGTCATCGTCGTTACATAACTCTCTCCATCTAAATCATTAGCAATACAGTCATTGTCACTTCTTTCGTCCACTGTATGCTGAAAAGATTTACAATCAGGTGGAGAAAAAAAACTGAAATCTAGAGATTCCAACTTTTGTAAGCTGTGTTTTTCTAAGATAAGTTAACTTTATAACATTTAGAAATGAAGATTGTTAATTTATTAACACCTAATTTACCTACCTGAGATTATCACAATTCTGTGTGGCAAAGCTTTTTATTTCTGTTTAGCATCTTTCATTTGGCTGAATTGATAAATAGATAGAAGAGGAAAGATCTGAAGGACAGTTAGCCTAATTAAATCATTGGGCATAAACCTTTTTACATTTCTTATTGTTTTAATCAACTAATTATGCATCTGGATAGCAGCATATGCTCAGATCTGTTTTCTAATGTAGCTTCTATCCAATGACCGTGTATTTCTCAAAAGAAATGAAGGCAACACAATGTAAGCATTTTGATCTGGCTTTTTAATGAATAATATTACGTCACGTGAAGTACCGTTGACAATCCTGTATGGATAGTCAGTATTTTATAATGAAATCTGTAGGGTGTGTACACATATCGTTTAGATTAAAGCTGTTAGTAAATATTCAAAAGTAACCTAGTTCACCGTAAACTAAATTTCTTCAAAATTAGTACACTATAGAGAATTTATTAGTTTGAAACTGATCACATTAGTAAGAGTAATCTTATTCGACCTTTTTCGATGTGTTTTGCCTATCTGAATGTCTGGATATTATTTCATATGGTAGGAAAGTTTGCATGGCATATTTTGATATTACTATAAGCAATAAATTGTGCTTGAAACGTGGTCACCGGTGAATATTACCGCATAACACTGTAATTTTGCTCATAATGGAATTATACTCTACCACAGTAATCAAGTTTTATCCCTATTGCATACGCAAATTTTACATTTTCCACAGATTCTTGATGTAATGTATATTTCACTCCCTTAGAAAAAATTTGAGGAAATGTTCAAGAAAAGCAAATACTGAGGAAGACAATTAACTTTCGTTTTTTCACTGCTGTGTAGAAGTTATTAAGGGTTAAATATAAGTTAACAACCCCCACAAACTTGTAATTTTATTACTTGTAATGACTTTTGTGAAGCATGAGTGTTTAAAAGATATATGTCGATGTGACAAGTATTATGAAACTGTTAGTTGATTACACAAAATAAGGAGAAGGCATATAAAAAAGGATAGACTCCCCCACCCCAAATCAATAACTAATAATCATGATTAGAACAAATAATTAAAAGATGGAGTAAGAAAATTCGACGCACGTCAGTTGACAAGGAGGGTGAAGGCAAATCACTATTTCGTTTTTGACTGCATGGGTCAGATTCTAACCCTTTACTTGAACTTATTTGCTTGCTGCTTGGTTCTGAATGAGGCTTCAGTAGTGACCATGCCTCCTGTCTCCTGTAGATGAAGGGTAACTTGATTGAAAATAGTACTTGATTTCTTTATGAGTAAGATTATGGACACATATATATGATAAATCTAGAACTAATCTAACATTGTCCCCGTATATTATTTCTGTCATGTTACGTTTTCATCATAAATGATGGACTAACTTAGCCCTACTTCAAGTTAACACCAAAAATAATACTTGGAATGTCAATAGATGCTCTCATTCTTACATAATATCCCTTTACAGAACACATTAACAAGAATAAATTCTGTTAGTTAGTAAATCTGCCTATTTAGAGTATGGCAATTACTTCATCCATGGACCAGTGGTTCAGACATAGAGTGTTTGCTATCCATGCATGCGGTCTAGGTTCAATGGCTTACCGAAGCACTCTTAAACCTCGCCTAGTTTACTAGTCCAGAAAAGAGGGAAGATCAAGTGTGAAGCTGGTGACTCCATGAAGTGAAAAAACAACATCACGGCTACTGAAACTTCGAAGATTGAATCCTTGTGATCCACTTGGAACGTAAGGAATATAAAAAATATTTTTATCCAAAGATGAATAGATTTATGCATTGCATTTTAAAGTAGATTCCAATAATTCAAGAGCAATAAATTATCGTCTTTGACCGGTTTCCCTTTCAACGTGCATATCTATCTACGGCGCTAAAACAGTCAGATATGAGAGATTTCGTTTTTCAAAGATTTTAATCGGTAAAAGATTTTTAGAGGATAGCTTGATTAATTAAACAGAGAATAAAAAGGGGGTAAATTACTAAAGGCAACTATTTTATTTCAGAATTTCACTTTTACTTAATTTTATGATTAAAGAATTCAGGTCAAGTAATGCTAATTCAGCCCATAAATCTTTCTTTTGTAACACAGTTTAAAGGCATTAAAGTTGAACCTGATGTGACGATTAGCCAAAGAGGAATTTCCAGTTTTTTTATCAGTTAGCACCGTTTAATTATTGTTACTATATATGTGCATTCGTATTAAATGTTAACGGTGTTCAGGCATTTAATTGCGGTACATACACATGCACACACAAAGTCCGAACATTTTATCTGCCACTGTTTCAGGATAATCATTTATCTTAGTAATAATTGGGTTGTATAAATAGTAGAATAATGTATCTTGTTAATAAGTATTAGGGTCAGTTATGTGTTCCAGAAAAACTGTGTAGAGAATATTTATGAACAAGGGAAATGCATAATTCTCTTTACTCGGAAAAGTACACTGATAAGTAAGCCATCAGATATATGTTCCACTGATAGTTTTGTACTTAAGTGTGCAAAAAAATGAGAATGAATTGTGAACATACGCTGAAGAGACATCCAATTGATATCACACAACATGCCCTATAATGGAACTAGCATAAGAAGCAACGAGATCAGCTTCCAAGAGTGACATGGAGAAGAAAGTGAATAATTGTGACTAGTTTCAGAGCTGGCTGAAGGTGATGCTTGAGAATCTAGTGGAATGCAGCTGGGTCACCTACGCCTTATGCTGCACCAGGAACGTATAGAGTGAATAAAAATGAATAATAGTAATAATCTTGTGCTTTAGTGAAGTGAAAGGTTGGATAGTACGACTCCTGGAAATTTTACACTGGAAAACAGTTCTTCAGTCTTCTCCTTACAATGAGTGAACATAAGTGCACAGTTGGCTTATGAGGGTAAACGAGAAGTTTGTCAATAATTTTTTACAATAGGTTCGATAAATTATCATATTTCTACAATCTTTCTATGTCTTATATAAAAAAGTTACGGCTAGTGAATATTTGCCAGGTTTTGACTTTGGCAAAGTAAAATCACTAGCAAAACACACCACCTGGAGAGTAGGATAAAATTTCATTGTAAACTTCACTTTGACAGTAAATATAATTGGCTGACCAACAAATATTACACGTTATTCTCCCTTACTTTCATTTCGTACAAGCGTTTAAACTTTCGTATAAATGTTCTATCTAAACGAAAATCAAAGTCAACCCATAATTAAATAATGACAATCGGTTCAGTAGGCTTATGACCTATAATCGTGTTAATGTTGTTTACTAATCCCTTGAAGTGTAGGGCATTCTTTTGATTAGCTTAATGGTAACATCATATGATATGACAACAAATTTTATCGTATATACAGTAAATTCACTCCTATTCATA